AAGGAAGACACAGAAACAAAAAGAAGACTAACACAGACACAGTGCTGACCCTTGACTCGATTTGCCCTTTACTTCGAAACATATCGAAATGAATGACGAACAAACAGAAAGAATGAACGATTAAGTCAGGAGAGCAAGTTTCTTTAATGGCGCGTGTTTCATTTCTATTCATCTGACTGGGACAACTTGGTTTAGGGCTTTTTCTGCTTTGATATTTCTTGTGTCTTGCTCTTTTATTTTCCTATATTTTGAAGTAAAACACAAATAGGGTCAAGCGTCAGAACTCGGCTCGTTCGATTTACCGGGACGCATCTCGGCGGCACCCTTGCGCAGAAAGAGCAGCCACCAAAGCTTTGAGCTCGCGCTTCTAACTTTCGCTGCTACGCAACACAAGGTAAATGGGGCATAGAAGACAAACTCTCAATGTTTACCACAACACAGCGGCGTATTCGAGCTAGCATGACATATTCGCTTCAAGACTCGATCGCTACGAGTGCTGTGGTAAAAAGCGGAACTACTTGGAGCGAAAAGTACGCCAAAGCCGTGAGAAGCGGCCATGCATGGCACGCAAGTTCGTGAGCTAAAATCAACTGCAAACGACAAAATCTCCAGCCCCTACTCTTCTCCTTGTTCCATTTCGATGGTGCGAATCCTTCGTCTCTAGATGCTTTGTGGACACCAGAGAGCTACCAGGAGGTGCATAGGAAACCATGGAGCAACAGAAGCTGATGTGCTCACTGTCGAACCTTGATCTCGAGGTGAATACACGATTGCAAGCAAAGCGACGCGGCTGCACTTTGTCTCACCTTAAAATGGACTATTGTTAGCCGCGCATGGTAAAAGCGCGAGCTAATTGCTTTGGATCACGCTTCGATAAAGCCTGGCAGATCGCCATGAGAAGCAGCCGTCGAAGTTGAAAAGGTAGAGCGACAGACAACGAATAAGAGGAGAGCCACGTGACAGGCGCCCCGCTGCGGCGAGACGCCGAAACACACTTGTCCCGAGCGATGGAATGTCCGCTCGCGCTCCTCGGGTTCCTCGAGCTACCGCTTCTTTTCTCGTCGGGTTTGAAAACCATGTTTCGGGTCCTCGCCGATGCAAAAGCTGTGCGGCTGACGTTCAGGTTCCCCAAGAAATGCTCTGTGCTACCAAATTCTCGCACTTTAAATCTGCGACGGGGCACTGTACGTCGAACTGCCTGTCTTTGTGAGTATAGAGAAGGCTATGGCTCCAGTCAAGGCAGTCAAGGCTACCCGCTTGCGCTTACACAGCCTTCACAGTCAAGTCATGCTAAGGTGAGACGAAGTATAATGTCTCCGGGGGCTAGCACGAGCAGCGGGCGCGTGAAGGTACCTTTGGCAAGCCTGCCGTTGCACGTGCTTACCCACACCAGGGGGCTAATGGTTACGTTTTAATTTGTTTTCAACCGTTTATACGTGTAACAGACCGCGGAGTCGCGAGTGGGTGTAGCAAGCAGTTCGCGACATGCGCTGTAAAGAGTGTTTCGCCGCAATATCCTATTATCTTTTAGCACACTACAGTTTCATCGCTGTGACAATTACTTTGGGGAATGGCGAGGGTTTCACAATACGTATACATACCTGTCACATCGTGGTCCGAATCCTTCGGCGATGTTGTCCCACATATCTTTCTGGTATTTTGCCTCCTTATACGTATCATATTTCAAGTCGTAAAGGCATGGGTAGTTTTCGACTGAATCAATTACTTTTCGATACAGATACCTTTGGTTTGTTTGGTTTCTGACCATTCTAGCGATGCTACACGCGGTCGACGCCTTTACCGAAAACAAGCAGGAAGAAGGCGACGCAACAACGCAACTTCCGGTTAGCGCTGATTGGCTTGAGGCCGGAGAAACGCATCGCTCGGCGGCAAAAATAGCTCCCGGACCGATCCCGCTCACCTTCGGGATTTCTTTTTCGAGCGTTGTGACGCCCGGCGTCAAAATATGGGCAGATTTTCTTGCGGATTTGCATGTGTAAACGCACCATTAGAAAGTTTTGTCACTACAAGCGGCGCTGATTCAAGTAGTAGTAAACAAAATGCAAAACAAAAAAACAAAAAGCTCCCCTCCTTCCCCCCCCCCCCCCAAAAAAAAAAAACAAATTTTCAAAAACAATTTTGAAATTTTTTTTAGCAGATATAGCACAATTTACAGGGCATTTCAGCTGTTCTGAAGTAATATGGCATCATGTATAGATGTCGTTTCATCTATTCGGTTAGCCCATGGGGCTTTATGAAGTATTCAACGCATCCAGAGACTTTCTCCACAGCGGTTTCACTGAACACACGCCCATCCGTTAGGTCCTCTGAGCAATCTGATTGGTTGACTTCTAACGTCGGCAGCGCGACTCTGGTGCTACAACTTGTTAATAGCCCTTTCAAACGATATGTACACACATGCGAACACGTAAGGCCCTCGTTTTTATTTTTTGTTTTTTTTTTTTTTTTTTGGGGGGGGGGGGGTGGGGGGTTGGGGGGGGGGGATGGGGAATATATTGCATACCGAGTAATTTTCAAAATTTTATCGGAATTCTATATTACTCGGTCCAAAAACCGAAGTTTCCAAAAAAAAAAAAAAAAAACAAGAAAAAAAAAACGTTTTCGTGAAATTTTTTTTACAAGCATAGATTGTGATGAGACTTTTTTTGTACGATAACTGGCGAGCGGCCTTTGAAAGGGTTAGGGAAAACTTTCTCGTAGCGTGACGAAAAGATTCAAGACGAGGTAATCCAAGGGCCGTAACTGGAAATATCTCCAAACGTTTTTGAACGCTCAGCGAGATAACGAAGAGTGCGGGCGACTAAATAGCTATATTGTGCGCGCTAATCGACGATCACGGGTGCTGCTGTAAAAAGAGAGACTATATCTCGTTTTATACTAATGTTACGTTCACACTTGCAGAGTCAGAAACTGGAGGACTATCCGGCGTCGAGCAGAACCGGTGCGAGACCGGTATTATATAGTAGTTTTAGTAGATCGTTCCGGTACTTCCGATTGCGACATGATGCATGCTCAAAGGCGTCGGTACAGTGTCGGGTATCGCGATCGAAGGTTTCGAAGCGATCTACGTTTCAGCAAAAAAAAAAAAAAAGAGTTTTTATTTGCCGCAATTCAATTAGGGGCCCTAAACTAATCGGCCACAAAGTTACAACCGAAGTATACTGAGCGCGACGGTTGCATTGCGCTTTTCTTGCCAAAATCCAATCGGCGCGTTCCGCGAACTTTCAGCTTCAACTTTGTGGTTGGCGAGTCTAAGGCTTCTAAACTCGTCAAACACAAAGTTGGGGCTGAAGTTTATAAAGCGCACCGATTGGACTATCACGACGATGACTTGGCGCTTTTGTCGCCGGCGTCCAATCGGCGCTCTTTTGGCTCCAACTTTGTGTTTGACGAGTATATAGGGCCCTAGGTGTATAAAGTAAAACGTGTTTTCCGACATGACATCCCTCCCGAGTCATCCGAGTGTCGAGTGCACAACCAAGCTCCCAAGTTGCATGTGGCGACGCCCCGCAATATCAGTCGAAACGCTCATCGCGACAAGATACCAATCATTTTTTTTTTCATGGCGGGAGCCACTCGACACCGCATAAACAACATACACTAGCCCCTGTCGCACGCTAGTCACCTGAAACCGACACTATATAGGATAACTCTGAAGACGGTCGTCCACATCGTTGAAGCTGCATGCATACAATTACAATCACATAAAAAAAAAAAAAAAGAGGAAACACTTTTGAACTTTTCCAAGGAAACGTAAGGCGTGGGAAGCCCCGGCACTCTCAGAAATAAAAGGCGTAGTACTTACACCCCTTGTCCCATATATAACACCTCAAAGCTATATTCCGGTATCCAGTCCACTGACGTCGACCCGAGGATACTAACTTTTACGAGCGACTTTGTGACTGTATGAGATAACATACTAAATAGCTAATGTACGTGTCAAAGACTACAGAAAAAAAAAACCCCAAAAAGCTCAGGTTTTGCAACGGGGCCAACAAAATCTTGAGGTTTTGCTGTAGCCTTTAATGTGCATCTTAGCCATTTTAAGAAATTGTATCACTCGATGATCAAGCCGCCCGTGAAAGTTGGTATCATGGGTTCGACTTCAGTGGAATGAACGTCGAATTGTAGTTTTTGGGGTGCTATATATAGGAGAAGGGGTGTGTAAGTAATACACTCTCTAATTCTTAGGGTGAAGCATCTCATTTTCACTTCGGAGCCAAGCGCCGCGGATGCTACGAGCCATAGGAACCAATCAAAGGCCCTGTGAGTGTCACGTCACCTTGGAGAGGGGGCACAGCGACGCGCGGAAAGAGTATCACGGGCCACGTCCACAGAGCGGGACTGGCTGGGATAGCTCGTAGCGTCCGCTGCGTCCGGACGTAAGGTGAAACGGTGGCGGTTTCTTTATGAAAGGCTAGTGACGTCACTCCCCGCGTCGCAAGCTGACGTCGCCGTGGCAGCTTGCGCAACAGTAATCTTTACCGCGAAACGTATGCGGTGAGCGCTACGTGCTTCGCATTGTTATCAGGAGCGCCTTATCATCAATTATGTGGTTCGGATGTTTGTTTTGTGCTTGTTCTTTGTTGAAACGAATGCTGTGCTTTATGTTGTATGCGTGGTGTTTGTACTTTCCGCTTCAATCCCTGAAGGTTTGTTGTTTTTCTGTTCGTGAGGACGCCGAAACAAAAAAAAAAAAATGCGTCCAACGAGCTTGCGACAAAAAAGTGTAAAACACGTAAGTGACTGAGGTCACTCCTTGATTTCTGCGTCGGTTGACACGCGCGCTGCAACGACAATTCAGGGCCCAGTTCGCGTGCTTATCTCGTCTAATTAGGGGCCAAGCCTGTAAAAAGATTGCCGACGGGTTGACGTCTTTGACTGCTCCTTCTATCTGGAGATTCGTAACGCAGATAAGAGGCTCGTGAAGCGTGGCAAGCGTGAGAAATGGCCGAACTCGAGAAGAAGTCCGAGGACGCGCTCCAGCAATCGACGACGGTCATGGTCAACCGGCAAGCGCTGCTCAGGGCTGCACAAACCCTCAACGTGGATCTAGCCTGCGTTGGCATGGTACGCTCACTCTTGATTTCATAACAAACCAGCTGAGGAATTTAGGAATACAATGGTTTTTCTACTAACACATTGTTTTCTCTGGACAGTAAGCGGGGGTCACACTGCTTCTACATCATACAAACGACAGTCTGCAAACAGGAATGACTGCAATATCCGTGGTTAGAATGCCGCTTGGCAAGTTATCTCCTCTAACTCATTACCATGCGGCATTCGAAGCTCCAATCTCATGGTGACTCGCGCTCGAATCTGTATGCAGACACTCTTTTGTATGATGATATATAAGCAGTGTGACCCCGGCTTAATTAAGCCTTGAAAGGGGCGAAGCAACAAATTTTGTACTTTCAGTAATTACCGCATAAAAATATTTTTTTGGCATTTAAAACCAATGAAACACGTGTTAGGGTTTTTAATTCCCGGAATGGCAGTTGCAGCCAAACATTCAGAAAAACGAGCAGCGTTGATTGCCTGTAGTCGTAGCCAAAACAAGCGGCTACGTGATCTGGAGCTTCAAAGGCAAGACGAAGGAATGAAGAGTGATATTATTTTGAATTATTAACTTGCAGAGAAGTAAGTGTGAACTGTTGACTCAGCGTAAAGCTGAAGTCACTTTCGTTAGCGAAATACGCTGCCAGTACTATGACGCGTCAGCGCGACATACTGGTGACTCATTTGGAGGAGGTTCCAAATTACGATCTCACTTTCTGGATGCCAGACTTCCAGCAGTGCTATACGCACGACGCTAGCACCACGCGTGCTTGCGTTTCAAGCTCTCGCATATACCCTATTGAAAAATATCATTTGTATAAGAAATTTCTGTGTCCAATAAACATATATGAATCATACAAGATATATAAGAACATATAAGGACCATATAAGAAACTTGTGAAAAGTTTCATATAAGTTTCTTATATTTCTTATATAGCTCTTATTGCGGTTCTTATATGTTCTTATATATCTTGTATGATTCATATGTGTTTATTGGACACAAGCAATTTCTCGTACAAATGGCTTTTTCACTAGGGTAGCGTTAAAGCCCGTTCATACACCTGTGACTTTTTGAATCGAGTGCCTTGAACTTTTTTAAAATCTCTTAGAACGAGATAACACACTGGCACGACTGGTGCCATCTATGCGGTGACCCTGGAACTGCATTTCATTAGAGCGAAGGCTGTGCGGGATTTTCGAGCTCAAATGTGCGTAATAAATATGAGAAATAGTCGTTTACAACGTTGACAAGAGTTTTTCGAGACAAGAAAGAAAGGATGGTGCGCGAGAGAAATAGAAAATATACGGGACTGTCAAGTTTCCACTGCTACACCATAGATGGCACCAGTGCGTCCTCTCGTCGTAAGAGATATTAAGAGGTTCCAAGGCACTCAATCTCATGAAGTAGCAAGTGTGTGAACGGGCCTTTACGGTGAAGTTTCGTGACCAGTAGCGTGTTGACTCTGGCCATGCCCAGTAACCTCGTGGCAGGCTGTTTCAAAACTGCTGAAAATCCCGTCACCCGCCAAACTGCAATTTCTCCCACTGGACAACTCTGAAAATCGGTAAATAAAGCGGGAAGACAGCTAAAATGGCAACACTGGCAAGAAATTTAGCAACGCGACGATGGCGAAAAACCTCAACCCAAACTTCCTGATGTCCTGGGATGATGGTTCTGTTGACAACATTCCAGTATATTTCCACTTACCCTTAAAACTCCCGTTTTAAATACCTTGATCACGTAACCTTTTCAAAACCCCACCAGCAATATTAGCGTTCGCTATCTCTCGGACACGAAGAGTGTAATTGGATCCGAGTTCACGCCTAACGCTAACGCAGACCTTCTGTTTAATACAGTCTCAGAGTCCGAGCCCAAGCAATTGCGGATCGAGTAGACGTCTCGTCTTTTGCTCCCAAATCACCGTAACACATGCATGACACAAGTATGTACACAAAACCGATATGTAAAGTCTAAATACAGCTCAGAAAGACAACTACACTGTCTTCATTCGTGGCGAGCGATAAGAATGCGGTAATATAAAACCAAGCAGACTAGCGATTGGTGCCGTCATAAACTTTAGACCCCGACAAACAAAAGCGGGAGAAGCGAAGCGAAGGTCCTCTTTTCACCGAACACTTCTAGCTAAGTCTTTATGCTCACGATTGAACTGATTGAATGCCAAAGCTGTAATCCACGATTCAGTGCGAGCACACGACGCAAAAACACAACGTGAGGAAAAAACGGGTGATCATAAAAGTCGAAAACCGCACACGAGACGAGTGGCATAAGGCGATAACGCTATGTTTTTACAAACTACTGGGTACGACCGAAAAAAATTAACACCGCTTTTTTAGCCCCCAAAAACGAACTATATGCCTCGCAAAAAGTTGAAACTACGTTAAAAGGTGACGCAGCGGTAATGAGAAAATGCGAACGTTTGAGAACGTGACGTTACCTAGAATAAAATATGCAAAAGAAAACTTTTTTTTCTGAGCCGGCGCCCACCTAAGCTTAATATTCATCAAATGAAAAAATTACATTGTGCACCCCTTATGGTATTTATTTCAGTGAAAACGGAAACTTGTCAGCAAAAACGAAAACAATATTGTTCTCGCTAAAGCTGAAAGGGAGCAAGAACACAGCGGATGGAAACGAGCGTGCGCTGAATGCGGAGCTTCTACTAAATTCTTGCAAATCACCGACTACAGTGCGCCTAAAGATCACTTACGGTACTTATAATATACTGAAGCAATGTAACTGAAGTACATCAATAATATGGTTTACTCACATTTTAAGTCATCTACTGGCTTTGTATTCAAAAATTTAAATATATCACTTTTTTCTTTTACTTAAGTACATGCAGCGCGTTTGATCTTGAGGAGAAAGAGATGGTGCGACCGACTCCGAGCTCAGGTGAAAACGTGGGAAATGTCTAGGGCGGCATTTTTCAAACCGAACACCCTTACCAGGGATGGGCACAATACATACAAATATGTATCGAAATACAAATACAAAATACTTCGTCAAAAATGTATTTAATTACAAATATAATTACATTTCCAAAAAAACATTTAATTACAAGATACAAATACAACCAAATGTATTTGGTCTCCCTCCAAATACTTTTCCAAATACATTCCTCAAAATCTGCGTCAGCGACTTCAGAACACCTGCAACGGGTTTCTGGGTATTTCATTTTAATTTTGCATCGCACACTCGGGAATTAGTGTGAGAGGCTCTAGTAACGGAATAGAAATATAATCACAAAAAAATGTAATCAGCTAGGACGTAATAGGTGAAAAAAAGTACAGAGATTCAAGCAGCTTTTTTTGTCGATTACATTTCGGTATAGACCAACAGAGAACCGAGACGACCAAGACGCGCAGCACTAGCTAGAGAATGTTTTATTGTTGCCACTCGCACCAGTTACGAAAATCTGGACGACCCGCGCATTTAGAATGTTCCAGGCAAAAATATGGATGGAAACCAGGCTGGAAAGCACCACAAGTTGTCACAGGCACTTATTTAGCCAGTCTGCCTGTGAACGTCGATTTCGTCACTATTCTTGCCCTGGACTAGCACCGTAATCACAAAGTCACTAAACGCTTGTGCTTGATTGAGAGACACTGCATTCGGTGCAGAACGTAGTTTTCTTCCTGCTCTGGGCACGTCTTAGGATGAGCAAGATGAGTCGCAATAATAATTTTGAGGGATGTATTTTCGCCCACAAAATTGTATTTAATTACAATTGTATTTGAAATACCCACGTTTTAGTACTTAAATACCCATGCCAAATACATTACGCAATTTGTAATTAAATACAAAAGCAAAATACACAAAGTATTTGAAAGACGTATTTCAAATAGTTGTATTTAAAATATTGCCCATCCGTGATCCTTACATACTCAAAGAAGCCAAATGGGGTGGTGATGGTGGTCATTGGGAAGTCGACAGGTTCCTCCGGAATCTGGTGGTATGCCTTCACCAGGCATGTGTACACGTTACCCCCCTCCCCCCACCCCCCCCCCCCCCCCAAAAAAAAAAAAACCCACTAAATACCGTTACTTGTTACTCGCTCAGGAGGTAACTAAAATCGTTACTCGTTACCGAATCTCGAAAAGAACTCGTTAATTTACCTCAGAAGTAGCGAGTTACTTTTCTCCTTACTCTGACAACCATGTACAGAACTGCTTTTGTTTCATGGTTCATTGTTTTCTTTTCAGTAGTCTTTGCATTTAAGCAGTTGGTGCCTCTGCAAGTCTTCATCAGTTGTGTTTCCCCACTTCTTGAGAATACATTTCCGACGACGCTAAAGAGTCGTTCTACTCACGCGCTCGAAGGCACGACAGCGTTGTGCTTCAGGAAGAGCTGGTGAATCTGGGATTCCACTCTCGTTTTTGCTATCTCTGCTTCTAAAGTTCTAAGTTGACAATGGCTTCTGTGCCTTCCCGCGTTGGCAACCTCCGGGTTTCCATTCGGTCTGTGAAGAGAAAAGGGTTACAGTCAGAGGGAGGCGATTGGAAGATTGGTGGAAATTATCTAGAGAAAATTGAACGATGCACAACTTACTATCAAAGCTTGGAAAAAGCGGGACAAAAAAAAAGTGGGACTCCCTTCCGCGTGGCTCCGGCCCAAAGTCTCAACCCTGTCTCCCAGTGGGCCCGGTGATGGGGTAACGCTGACCTATAAAAGGCAGAGGAATATTGGTGACTCCCTCGCCGGGGGGAGGAGGCGGGAATGAAGTTTTTGTGTTTTTTGCCCAATTTTTCAAAAGTGATGTCCCACACTACCTGGTAAAAGCTAGGGTGAGAAAATTGAATTTAAATGGCGGGAGGAATCACATGTTTGTATTTTAAACTTACGCTAGGTGGCGCAAGCTACCGCCCGTTAAAAGGGGTGTAGCCATTAACATCCATCCATCCATCTATCCATCTGCACACGATTCGAGAAGGTTCAACCAAGGAACCTTATTGGCTGTGTTCCAAATCTTACTCAAATGGATCCGAGTTACTCCGGCGGGTTGTGTCACGTGACAACACAGATTGAAAAGCGCTGGACGCGGGTAGATTTTAGAACGCCAAGGTACAAAACCCTTACCCTGGAGTAAGATCGAGTAAATTTTGGAACACGGCCATTGTGTTTTCTGGGTGAAGGACATTTCAAGGTATATGGTTCGACTGACTTGCTCAGCGATAAATGTTACTGTCCTACTATGTAGTAGTTCTTCGGGTTGCCCTTCTGTCATTGTCGCAATAGACGCGCACTCAGGTTAAAATAAAAACGAGGCTGCTTAAACGCGTGGCGTTGTACACATTACTCCTTAAAAGTTACGAAGTACCCTTACTCGTTACTTGGCTTTACAAGTAACTAAGTACTTTACTCGTTCCTTGTTCAAAAAAGTAACTAAATTGGTTACTCGTTTCCGAAAAAAGTAACTGGGTAGAAGTAACTCGCTAATAGCAATGCATACTATACATGGCTGGTCTTCACCAACTCGATCTTAGAGAATATGTGGGAACCATGCAGTCAGGTGCGGGGTGATGTCCTGTATGTGAGGAAGTGGGTACCGGTGAGGCTGGGTGTTGGTGCCGGTGTTGAGGGCACGGTAGTTGCCCGTCGCCGGAATCTTTTTTGGGGGCCACTGCAGTGGGGAGGCCCAGTTGGTCGATGATGGAGAACGATGCTAAGTTCGAGCATATGCTCAAACTCGTGACGAGCGATCGCCAGGCGTTCTTCAGGCAGCCGACAGGGAGCATCGAAAATAGGGGGCCAGGGCCCAGAGGTTACAATGTTGTTAATGATGGTGTGCTTTACCGGCGACTGCTTGGTGTATGGCCTCGTAATGTTAGAAAAATTGGCGAAAATTTTTTTATGGGCCGATGATGGTGAAAACACTCTAAGTCCTGTCGCCGTAGTCGTGAAGAGCACGCCCTTCACGGAGATATGTGTCGTCGAGTCAATGAGTCGCCGTGAATGAATGTATACGGCCAGCTTGTAAATGCTTAAAAAATTCGCTCTCAGGATAGCCTGCTTGATGTCGGTGACGATGAGCAGCTATCGGAACGTGTGACGCAGTCCAAGGCTAATTGTGAAAGACCGCTGGCCGTACTTGGCGAAGGGTGATCTGTTGATCACCTGGAGCGGGGAGCCCTCTGTTTGCGTTGTCGATCCAAAAGAGAAATGATAGAACACTGACCTCGGTTCCTGTGTCGACGAGAAAGCGATGGCCAGCTACCTTGTCAAGCACATGGAGGAGGCGGCTTTCCTGTCGACCGGTATCACTTGCCGTCGTCGTTGCCCGGTCTCCTAGTTTCCCGCCCAAGAGCAAGGTTGGCTTCACTTGCGGGTATTGTTGCCGAACATACGGTGGTACTAGCACGCCAGAGTCAGAGTCTTTCTGGCCGTTGTTGGAGGAGGCGGAGCGCTCTGCCGCACGTGGACACACTGCTAACACATTAGATAAAGGACGGTTTGCAGACACTGTCGGAGGCATGCTATCTCCTTGTACGACGGTCCTGACATATTGGTAATATAAAACTGTCTGCAGACATGTTTATAGCATACATATGCATGAAACAAACATGCTACGAATAGGCTTGAGGCCTGTCCGCAAATAATTTTGTCACCATGTCTTCAGCGAAACCCGTATCTTTTGTATGATGTATGAACAGTGGCTTTAACGTCACTCTGAATAACGTATCCTCATGAAAAAAAAAAAAGGAAAAAAAAAAACGTTTTAGTAAACCAAGTATAATTTGCGTATCACCTTTTAAGTGTACTTTGCACTCCGAACAGGTTAAGAAGATATTGTTTCAATTAAACATTACCTTTTTCATTTACAAACACTACTGAGGGATTTTTGGTGCAAAAAGAAGAAAAAAACAAAGCGTTTTATAAAAACATTTTTCAGTGTTTCTTTTTACCACAAAAATAAACGACGTATCGCCGAAAGCATAGTCTCCACCCAAATGTAGCGCTAGATAGCGGTCCGGACCAGATGGGAAAGGTGCCAAACTGCTATCTTATTAAAAAGTTATACGTAATTTTTCGAAAGTTTCACTGGGAACATGGGGCCTGCATTCCCGGTACAGCTCACACCTTTCAGCTCCTTTTATTTTTTGAATTCGTCGGCTGTATTCCTATTCGGAGCGCAAGTTTGTCTGCTTCTTGAGCAGAGGGTTGCGGTGACGTCAGGACGACGCCGAGATCTGACTGACTCTGATTGAAAGGATTGAGGGTATGCCTTAACCCTATAGTCCGTTGCAACCTAAGAACAAAGGGCGAGGGTAAGACGGGCAGGGGTGGAGGGACCAGACGGAACGCTGGAGAAGAGAGAGGGGAAACCTCCTTCTCTCTTTAGCGTTCCGTCTGCTTCCTCCTCCCCGGCTCGTCTTACCCTCGCCCTTCGTTCTTAGGTTGCAACGGACTATAGACGCCTTGTGGTCTACCCACTATTTTTTTCAATAAGCCAGTATGAGCTCGCTGTTCTGGCATCATCGCAACCCTTGTGCAAGAAGCAGACAAACTTGCGCTCCGTAATAAAAACTTCCGAAAATCGCTTTTAATTTCTCAACGAGACAACGGCAAGCTCTGAAACTTTGACATCTGGCCCGAACAGCTAGTAGCACTGCATTTGGACAGACTAAGGGTTCGGCAATGCGTAATTTATTTTTTCGCTAGAAGAAACGGTGTATACTTTTTGTACAGCCTGTAATATAACACACACCAGTGGGAAAGAATTCGTGACTGGACAAGCATGACTTGTCGTTCCCAGAGAAAGGGCATCATAATTGTTAAATAAGAATAAAAAAACCATAACTAATTGTTAACTGGACAAGCGTGGCTTGTCGCTCCAATAGAACGGGTATCATAAGCGACTTTTGGTGTGAGGAGGATCTGTCGCGTTCCCGTATCGCAGGGTCTGCTACATTCGGTGACTGGAGTGGCCCTCTTGGACCTCGCCGACGTGTACAACACGGACGTGAAGAATGTCGCCCAGCTGGCAACCACGCGAGGTGTCGGCATCCTGGTTGGATCATTCCTGGGTGAGTAGAACTAATAAAAGGACACTTATCTGGAGGCGTAGTCATAGTAAAAGTTAGTAAATGAATTTTTAGAAAGTATTGTGATATCTGCATTTTTTAAAAAAAGGACCTTTGAGTTCGCTTTAATGTACAACACGAGAAAAGGAATCATGGCGAACGATAGAAGGATCCCGGCGAAGCTTGTATTACCATTCGACAAAGAAATTCGATGCGCGCAGGAACATGAGCTTGATCTTTCCCTCGCTCATTGTCCATGCCAGGCGCTCACTGCTTTTTTCTTGTTTAATTGTATTACGAGCTACGTCATTCGCTGGGATTCTCTATTGTTCGCCGTGGTTGACTGTTCTCCTGGTTCCTAGGAAAGTAAACTTACATACCTTTATTTAGAGTGTACTATAGCATAGCCTCCTATATACTGACAAATCCTGGCAGATCGCCACGAGAAGCGGCCACCAAAATGGAAAAGGTGAAGCGGCAGACAACGGATGAGAGGAGAGCCACGCGACTGGCGCCCCGCTGCGGCGAGACGCCGAAGCCCACTTCTCCCGAGCGAACAAGTGTGTTTCGGGTACTCGCCGCTGCAAAAGCCGCGCGCTCACGTCCAGGCTCCCCTAAAGTAACTGTATATGCTCCGCTTGCGGAGCTCTGCAAGCAGAGCCTATACAGTTACTCTAGGCTCCCCGAGAAATGGCTCTTTAATGCTCTGTGCTACCAGATACTCGAGCTCCGAATCTGCGACCGGGCACTCCATGGCTCCGTCGTCGAGCTGCCAGGCTCTGTGAGTATAGAGGAGGCTATAACTATAGTCACTGACAGTTTCAGAAATGCAAGGCGTAATAACGCCCGAAAATCTCACCAGTGCTCTTCAGCCTGTGCGATTGCGGCATATATTAAGAATAAAAATGTCGAAAAATAAATAATCACGAAGTTAGTGGCGTGGACAAAATAAGTCACACCCTGCGAGTCGTAGGCTGTTAGTAACTATAGCAACACTTTATCGTGGAGAATACTGACCACGCTAAGGAGGCAAGTTTAGTAGGTCCTGGCAGGCGTCTAACCTAAGGTAATGAGCGCATATGCAAATGTACATGGGTTTCGTTCGAACTGTCAATCGTGTAATCCCGCTCTTTATCAAGATCCTGGTGGCCGCAGAGCAGTGGAAGGGGTCACGACCGACGGATGTTCTCCCGAAGCTTGCTCCGCAGTTGTCCATACACAGCCAATAACAGATTACGAAATTCTGGTCTTGGCTTATTACGTTTGCGCTTTCTGCATCGTGATTGGTTCTGTGGAATTCTTATCGACCGATGCCATTATCTTATTGGCTGCGGAGCGATAATAAGATGCCCCGGGACAAGGCCTTACTGTTGGAAATTTCACTTTACCTACCTGAGGCCTGCGCGGGGGCACAGGTTAGACACAAGTGCTGCGTCAAAGTTCGCCTGGAAATCGCGGCCCCAACCAATCAAAAACTAGTCCCAGTCGAACGTGGACGCGGAACGCTCGTGTCCGCACTTCGGTAGATGACGTCGTAGATAATAGACCTATCTCAAAAGTGTGCTCTACCTAGTAACTGCGGCACCACAAGTATACGAGTCCGCCATTGTTTGGGCACGTACGCCGAGCATGTGCTGGACACGATGGTCGCGTCAGCTTTCGTCATGAACTCGGCTCGGCTCGTATTGAATACGAGTGCTGCGTCGTCGTTCGGGAAGAACTTGTATCCTGGCAGATGTCTCCAAAATAATGCTGTTTTTCGTGTGCACTATTAGCCCCCTTTCGCGAGAGTATAACGACAAAAACGTACCTTTCCCCGCTAAATTGAGCGGGCTTACGTCCCAGTAAAAATATAATATTAACACGACATGCGCCCTGATGGGAAGGAGAGGCAGAGGTGACCGGTTCATGCCTTTGCATCGCAGGTGGCCGCCTGTACGACCGGTACAACACTCAGGTGCTGAGCGTCATCATGATGCTGCTGGCGTCCCTCAGCGTGCTCCTGACGCCGCTGTGCGTGCACATCTGGTACGCCCACGCTGCCTCGGTGCTGGCTGGCGTCTCGTCTGGAGCCATGGACACCGGTCAGTGAGCGACGGGCGATCCGTTCACACATGCCCTACATGGGTAACAAGACCGGGAAGTGTATTGGGAAAAGAAATGGGTGGAGTAAAACCGCGGGCCAATTTCAACACTCTGGCCCGTATTTGTGAACCTCACATCGCCTGGGTTACAGGGCAGAGCGAGGAGGGGGTGCCGAGGCTTAGGTAAAAACGCCTCAGTAATTCACGCGCTGAACTTTAGCCGGCTCTCAGATGTGCTTACGTGGGCACATCCGAGTGCCGGCTAAAGGCTAGCGCGTGAATCAAGGTGTGTTTACCTAAGCCTCAGTCGCCCTCATCTTCTCCACCCCCCCCCCCCCCCCCGCCCCCTTTCTCCCCCATAAATCAGGTGATGCGACATCCAGAAACGCGCACCCATGAAGTGCCGATATTGGGCCGCTGACTTCCTTCACAAGCTTTTTCGAATACGTCTCCCCGTTCACTCTACCCTCGAGGGACACTGAACCGTAACAAACCTTTTTCTAGGTGCCTGAAGAGGCACTTAAATAATTTTTGAAGTGCCAGAACTCGCACTTAAAAATGCCCTTTGTGTAAATTGACTTCGTCGGCCGTCATTTTCCCATTGAAAACTTCCAAAAATCGCTTATAACTTCTGAATCAGACAAAGGCAAGCTCTGAAACCTTGGCATTTGAAACAGCTAGCACCCCATTTTGGCGGAGACTTTAATGCTATAAAATGAACTTTTATTTTAATTTAATTTTAAGTTAGTTCAGTATGGCTGCGGATTTCATTCAAGATTGGTTCCTGTTTGGATAGCTCTAATGTTTTGCGATGACGTTGTAGAATGCATAGCATGAAAAGACCCAAATTGTTAGCCAATTCTTTTTTTTTTTTTCTTTCAGGTGCTAATATCTGGCTGATCAACCTGTGGCCTTCCAATTGCGGTCCAGCGCTCCAGATCTACCATTTCGCCTTTGGCGTCGGTGCCTTTATAGCGCCCTTCATCACGGAACCGTTCCTCTCAACAACCAACGCATCCGCCCTCTTTTCTGCGAACACAACCTTACAGAACTCCACAAACTTTCAGGGCGGAATTGACGCTATACTACTGAATTCGGACGGGACAGTGTTTGATGTCCTTAATGATACCAACGCCACATCATTCGCACCATCACAGCTGCGGTACGCGTTCGGCATTGTCTCCGGTTTCAACGCGCTTGTAGCACTGCTCATGTTCCTGGTCTTCCTCGTCGACAAGTCCGATAGCAAGCCTCCTGTGCCCAGTGCCGGGGGTGACGCAGGTTGCCAGGGCAACGGTGGCTGGTTTCCTACTGCCCTCCTGTTGCTGCTCGGTGCCTACATCTTGGTCTACCTCGGACTAGAGTGCTCCTACGGTCAGATGCTTCCGACCTTCGCGGTTCAGAGCACTCTCCACCTAAACAAATCGCAGGCGGCCTACCTGACGTCGTTGTTCTTCCTGACCTTTACGGTCGCGAGGGTGGCGTCTGCCTTCTGGGCCATGGTGGCGACTCCCTTCAGCATCCTGCTCACCTGTCAGTGCTGCCTCCTCGCCACTTTCGGGGCCCTGGTCTTCTTCGGGTCCAGTTCATCTATGGTCCTCTGGTGTCTGACAGGCGCCGCGGGAGTGTCTCTGGCAGCCGTCTTTGCCACTGCGGTCTCTTGGTCGGTGAAGTATCTGGTGATGACCAACCAAATGATGTCGGTGATCACGGTCGCCGCTTCTTTCGGGACCATGATTTCCCCGGTCGTCGTGGGTTTATTTATCGAGAAAGACGCCATGGTGTTGATGTACGTCTGTTTTGTGGCAACAGTAATAATGGCGCTGCTGTTTGTGGCTATGCATCTTTTGACTAGAGGTAAAGCTGAAAGAGTGCCGAGTGAAAAACCTGTTCAAAACAACCTCGACGCCTGACGTCTGCAACTTTGCTTGCAGCCATGTCACTGAAGATTCGTGCCATACGTTCATGCGGCACGAAGGGGATATGATACAGACGCCAAATCGCGCCAAACTGCGCATTATTGCACACAATGTATTGCGCTATTTTTTATTTATTGAAATAAATAAAAAAGAGATTGACAATGCCAGCATGCTGATCGACATACTGGCATACGACCAGACACCTAACTTGCATGGCAACCAAGTGTTGCCATCCACCAGTAAAAGCATCCCCTTTACTATTATTTATGCCATGGTGTCGCTACTTAGCTGCTCATCTCGGACACACCAAGTGGTAATGCGCCAAGAGATGGAGAATGCTAATTTTTTGTTGTGCATATAAGTGTGTATAATGATGAGGAATTGAAATTTGTGTAAGTGGCTATGTTTTGCTATGCTCTTGTTTTGTGTATGATGGTTTTGCTTATATTATTTCAACGTTTGTCTGCATGTTGCCCGCTGTACATTAAAAGGGTACCAAAGCCTTCTTAAGAACCAGCGAATTTTGCCGTAGGCCCCCCTTGCAGTACCATACTACAAACCAGGCTCGTAGCCAGAATTGTTTTTTGGCGGAAATCCTCCCTCGCGCCCCCCCCCCCCCTCCCTTTCCCCTTCCGCTGGGGAAGGAGCGTCGAGAAAGCCTTTGGGGAGGTGCGTCTCCATTTCATCTGGTGATCATACCGGTGGTGCTTATGGGCATCGCGTCATGTGAACGTCGCCGTCGAGGGTCGGGTTTGGTGTAAAGGACAGACCAAGTCACCGGGTCGCAGCCCGACGTCGCGATCGCTGTCACCACACGTGTCCGTCCTCGCCCTGTAGCGGTTCCCATGCTAGAGACTTGCCGTGGTGCCCCTCTAGTCTTCCCAGATTCTTTTCCATTGTCCCCACGGCCATTGGTGCCAAAAAGGCGGGCCTCTCTCTCCTCAACATGGGCCAGCCGGGTCAACAGGCTGGTTTACGCGATGCTAGAGAGGGAAAGGGTGGTGGTGGGTGTTCGAGGCTTGGGTGAACACACGCCAGTGTTTCAAGCGTACACAGATGCCCCCTCGAGATGGAGGCGCCGCCTCGAGAGATTTGCATGCTGGCTTACTACTGAAACCGTCGCCATTAGAGAGTTTTCGTAGATGGTTTTTGCCGTCCCGCAACGCTGTCCTCAACCCGCTAGGATAACCGGAACTCTACAGTCAAGGCCATCAGCGCGCAAGCGCAGTAGCGGGTTCTTCGTTGCGGAGGGCTTAGCGGAGAAGGAAACGCGGTGTACGAAAACTCCCTATTATCTTCTCGTTGAGCTTCTACACATAGATAATTGTCACGCTGGCGGACGCTTTTAGCGCTCCACTACGCAGTGTTGGGTTTTCTTCGCCGCCAAAACCACTCTTGCTTACGACAAAGCATCGTCAGCCGCCATCGTGTTGCCGCGTCCTCGGTTGTCATCTAATGGTACGTCGCCGTCAGCGTTTTTCTGTTTGCTGTCACGAGCCGTCTTAACTCAGTGCTGATTGTTAGGCGAGTTGGTATTGTACGTGAGAAAACATGATTACGCTTTAAGACAGGAACATAAGAAGAACAGACACCACAGAGCGCTAGCGCTCTGTGGTGTCTGTTCTTCCTATGTACCTGTCTTAAAGCGCAATCATGTTTTGTCTTAAACTAAACAACAAAATTCCGAGGACACCTAAGCACTTCTTATGAGTTGTGAATGCAAAAGCACGAATTTCGTTCTTCCGCTCCCTTAGTCCGTCTACGGCCTACTGGCGTGGACGGCCACGTCTCGCTACTGCCGAGGTAGCGGCCGACGGCCGAGCCCGCGGTCTCGTAAAGTGGCCGCGCCGCGCTGAGCTCGGCCGTGCAGCCTCTCCGGAATTTGCCCGTGCGGGCTCTTCTCCCTCTTACCGGCGACCGGGCCACTGCGTGCGCTGCGCCGCCATGGAGAGGGCTTCACTGGTGGCGTTCCTTGGAATTTCGCCTCGCGAGAGCCAATGGGAGCCTCGCTCCTTGAAACTATGACGCGCGCCAGCCAATGGGAGCCTGTCCATCAAATTTCTGCTACAGACGACAGGCTTCGCTCCATTGGGACAAGGGAAGGTGCCGTGTGGCGCGGCTTCAAAGGCTGATCACATCGGTTTTCTCCATAAAACAATAATGCTTTCGCATAAAAAAAGAAAAAAAAAAGCGCGAAAGGTTTTTGCCATCTCTTGCTTGCGAAGAAGCGAAACATTGAAATCGGCCAATTGGGCCCTAGATTTTTCTTTCTGCTTCTACTCCGTTAGAATGTTTCAATACGCCTACGCACTCTAAGAAAAAAATAAGGCAAAAGGTAGCAACGGCGCATTTTCCTACCTTCTACGCGCCCCCAAACGGACACGAGAAGAAAGGAAGAATGAGACGTTTTTGTCTTTCTACAGGCAGACGGGAGAAAGCTTCCGCCCTCCCGACTCATCTTTCGGTTTCGTTTCTCGAGCACGTCGCTAACGTTGTTTAATAAAAGTTGTTGAGTTGATTTAGCTTCAGCGGGCTGCGAAGGGCGCCTGTAATTCCGTCTCCCAGTCCAAACGCGCAGAGCATATCGGTTGCATTGACGTTTTTACCACTAATTTTGTCAAGCGAGCAAACAATTAAAGCAGCTAGAAACAGCGAAGTTCCGGAGCAGTGCCAGCAGCGCTACGTACATTGGGCTAAGATGGCCGACTCCGGATTGCAGAACTCACGCGGAACTATGCGGACCATGCGGAACGATGTGTCCACGGCAGAGGTCCACGGTGGATGTGTCGACATTGACGACGTTATGAAAATCGCGGAAACTGCGTCCAAGACAGGCTGGTTTTGCTCCCGAGTGCCTAGGTGCCTTCTGTGCTTAGTTCGGTTCTGGTTTTCCGATGCCGAGTGCCAACCGACAGTCAACGGGGTTCTGTATTTCTGCGTGTCAGCAACATATCAGCAACATCGCGATGGTGCACTGTTGTACGTTGCGAACAGAATACTAAAATTATCGCCGATGTGATCGTGTGTTCGCATATCAGTGGTGTAACATCATGATGAGATGACATAAACTGTCGGGCATTGATGCCGCTGGTCGGGCCGTGATCGGAGGGGGCGGGGTTTCGCAGGTTGACATTCCGCTTCACATGAAATAGTTTAAGACCACTTGAGGGATTAGGTGCAATCGATCGACGTGCGGATGATCACGTTGGAACGCTGGTCTGAACAGTAAGCTCCTATCGTACAGTGGCCAATCTGACTGTCGGTTGTCTCCTCCCCGAGAGCAATTGCGCTCTGGGGAAAGGACTGAGCAGTATGAACATAGGACGAAAAGTACGCATATTCAGAGTTTGGAATTTTAGCATTAAGAAAAAATGATAGATAAAATTGCCAAAAAAGTTGTCCTATTCTTTTAAATATACTATACGGTTACTGGAAAAACTGCCCTCCAAGTGACGCACTGGGATGAGCGCTAGACGCTTTCCAGTTCGCCACGGCGTAGCTCCGTACACTTAACACCTGCTGCAAGTCGCGGCTTTGACTGCATCTAAGTTGATCGGAAAGCGATTTCTCGATCTGCCCGTGAAGCATCACTTCCAGCTGAGTGAATATCCGCTGTACAGAGATTAACTTGTAAGACGACAATTGCAGCCGCGAGCGAACAACGCACAGAGAAAAACAAACGCTACAATAGAAATACTGGCTACAACGTGCCGTGCGGGGAAGCACACACATGGCTTGGAACCGCATCGGAGTGGCTTGATTTATTGGCTTTCAAGTAATTACGGCATGTGCGTTTACTGTTTAGTAAGAGATTCATCCCCTGAGCTGTTCAAGATACTCTCAGAGGTATGATATTGCTGGAAAAAGATCAACATGCTGGGAATATTTTTTATTGCTTAGGCGGTCATGACCGAGTTCGTGCGTTAAAAATGACCAGTATAAAAGACGGAAACGAAGAACTCGGAAGTAGTGATCGGGTTAGTGTGCCGTTGTATTGATATTTGTATGCGCCGTATATGTATATGCGCTCAATATATACGTTCAGCTGATGCTTGTCGTAATATGCCTATAGTCGTTGACAGGTCAAGAACGAAGTGGTAGCTCCTCCCACCTCTTTCCACTTTAGTAGAGCGAGCGCTGAAGAGGAGGCGACCCTCTCTCCATCGTTCGCTCCACTGAAGGGGAAAAAAGGGGTAAGAAAAGTTTTCACTTCGTTTTTGACTTGTCACTCACTATACATCTGTGTATATTAAAGGTTTCCTAAGGTCCCGAAGCGCAATGATTGTGAAAGTAAACAAAAATATTTTTTGTAGAACATGAATTGGGCGGTACCTTGCGCCACCTAGCCTGGATCCTTGCAAAAGGGTTTTGGTGCAACTGAATACTGAATTACTCTGCTTGACCCTGCCATCTGGTGGTAAGCGATTTAACCTTCTTTCACGCTAGGTGATAATTTCTGATTACCGTGCAACAGCGGCTTCAAGTTTGTTCTTTTGAGAGCGGCTTTTGGTTTCGCGAATTGGTTTACCCTTCCTCCGTGATGTGCGGTTGACGAAGGAATTGTGACTCGAAGAATATCAAAGGTAAAACGTAAAGTGCGCGAAGTAACTGGGTGTCGGTTGTCTTCGTTTAACATCGCAGTGCTGACGACGAGAAGACTGAGTAACTGCTTTTGAAAGGGAAGTCTTTACCTGCGAGGGAAAGCTGGCTTTGGAAATCAACACAGTTTGCGGAAACCTCGTGTTACGCTCTTATTTGCTGCTTCTCTCGTCCCGTACAAGAGGCTCAGCGTGCTTGTTAAGCATTACCGAGCTTCATTTGCTCGATTTGGGGCCGCCATAATGAGGTGCAGGCAACGGAGGAACTTTGCTCCCCTGCTTTAAGGACTAAAGTTTCTCCCTTTCTAAAGGAACCATAGGTTGCCAAACCGTTCCTCCCTTTAAGGAGGAACGGTCTTGGGAGGAAGGGAGAAACACAACAGCACTATAGATACCCTTTTTTTCTAAGAGTGCGGGGGACGACACCCTCTGAAAGGGGGTCCAATGATCATCGCAGCCTCTACCATTGCCATTTTGCAGGTTGTGCGCGGGGTACTAAGGCACCAAAGAAGCCGGCAGCTCGTCTTCGCCAGGGAGATGGCCGACGACATTGCAGTTTCATTCGGTCCAGTCCTACCGAGTGGAACCGCAACGGCTTGCGTCGTATGGGTAGCCATAGCAAGAGCTGCGTGGGCTCCAACGAAGCGTGGTAAAAACCGGTTTTGTTGGAGTTGACGCAGCAGTTGCCATAGCAACTTGTCGTCGCAAGCCGTTGCAGCTGTACTCGGTCAAACCCGACGCAATGTGTGAATCGCCC